GCAATAGGGGTCAGAATTTGTGAACACAAGTGGTTGCAGCATTAGGGCTGAATTGATTCGTTGATTGATTGATATGTGGGCTTTAACGTCCCAAAACCACCATATGATTATGAGAGACGCCGTAGTGGAGGGCTCCGGAAATTTCGACCACCTAAGGTTCTTTTACGTGCACCCAAATCTGAGCACACGGGCCTACAACATTTCCGCCTCCATCGGAAATGCAGCCGCCAGAGCCGGGATTTGATCCCGCGACCTGCGGGTCAGCAGCCGAGTACCTTAGCCACTCGACCACCGCTGCGGGGCGAATTGATTCGTTACTTGCTTTTATTTCTACCCTAACTTTTCACTTCACATTCGAAGGACTTGCAACTATATTAGTAATTCGCATGACAAAGTAGAATGGCTTTTTATGTAAAGAGGTAATGTTATTTCTGGTCCACTGTTTTCATTGCAAATGTAGTAGGCAGCCAAGCAAGAAAAATGAATCCCAGCTCGATCTACTCTTACGGTAGCTATTTACATATACCACACGCGCATGGAGTGCGCTGTCACTTCAAAAAAAAAAAAAAGAGAGAGAGACTAGCACTATCCTCTCAGCCCACACAATGCAAAGTATATACAGACAAATGCGGAACCATCTATGGGGACTGGATGTTCAACATACCGGCAGCCTTAGTACCAATCATATCTAGGAAAGGGAAGTGAGCCATTAAACATGGTCGGCACACATGTTGCTTGAGCTAAAGTAAACATCGTTTTAACTTTCAAATGAAAGCCAACAGCTCATGAAAGCACGCCAGCTGATATGTCATACGCGGCACGAAAAATGAAAGTTGTGCGCGAGCATCGTTTCATTAAGAGAAAAAAAAAACATAGTTACGCGGAAAAGGAAAGATGATCGCCAATGTGTACATACATCGTCCTCTATCCGATAAGGCATTCTGCATCGCTGTCGATTCGGGGCTCACTGTATGCGCAGATGGGCACGGAGTACTACTCGAAATTTCCTTTTGTGCACACGCAATTACGTAACTTATGTCTGTTACCCACCTCTCCTCCCATCATTCCCGACAACGCAGCTGTGTTTTCATTTCATGCAGCTGCACTTGGTTCTATATCAATGTTTTGCCATCTTTGCTCACTCTTCGGTGCATCTGTTTTTACTGTGTGTTGCTAGAGAAATCCGTTCATCTTGTGGGCGCAGCGACAAATGTATCAGCTTGAAGGAATCGATGTGAAAACGCGGGGAGGTATATAGTTAGAATTGTATTGACTCTTCTTACATCCATTACTCTCTCTAATGACTCCTAAGCAGCCTCCACGTATACTTTAAAAAAAAGGGGGGGCACTACACCCACTGACACCGACAAACTAGCTAACACTCTGTATTAAAAAAAATTGGCTGCTTTGACTGGAAGAGCATTTTTGTCGGAAAACATGGGACTTCAACAGCCAACGGCATAAAATTGTTTAAACCATGCGGGAATATGACATGTCGATATATAGACCTTCTTACTGAGGGCTTACTGGGTGCTGCCATAATCCTCTCTGGGCTTTGGCTAACATGCGTGACCCCCAACAAATGCACTGCCGAGGCTCTGACGTCGGCTTTTGTGCTCAGAAATAAGGAGATCCTCCTCTCCATTAGAAAAGCGCATTGTTTTACTTGCGTAATACGAGTGGAGATGTCACATAAAACTAAAGAGCATTGATACTTTAGTGCCGAAACATAAAAGTATCAACGCCGTTGTCAGTCTGCGGAAGTTTTGCATATTTAAAATGTTAAGAACCATGGTTGACCATCGATTCGCGATCGATACCGTGGCCCGCAAAATATCTTAATTGGTGCACACGGCACTATTCCGTCTACAGAGCTTGCTATCTGATAAGATGGCCATGCTCACCTAGAATCGAATTTCTTTTTATGAACAGCAAAGCTGTGTAAGCTTTTCTTGGCACCTGATAGTACGAACAATAATTATCATCATCATGAGCAAGCACGCCCTTTTATCGTCATGTTCTTGCGCCGATTTGTCTGGCATGGAATGCAATAACTCTGATCGGGGAGTTTATAACTTGATTAAAACTGACGTAACATCCCGTCGCAACTACTTACATGTTTCAGAATCACGCAACGTCTTATGTCGTGACAAAAGTCACGTAACATCTAGACACGTACGTGACTGAAATGAAGATAGCATCACGTAACAACTATAGTCGCAGGACTAAAATCACATATCAGGTAAATAATATTGCGTAACAACTAATGACGTAACTAAATGTTACGTAACTTCTAGTCACGTGACTAAAATCGATAAAACAAAACGTAACAAGTCATGTGACTCAAATCACCTGGCATCTAGTCAGGAGATTGAAATATTGTAACATCACATAACAACTAGTGGCGTGACTAAAGGTCACGTAACATCCCATAACTAGTCGCATAGCATAAATAAAGTAACATTTAGCCTTCCGACTACAATCACGAAGCATGACGTATCCACTAGTCACGTGACTCAAAATGACGTAACATATTTTCACGTGACGGTCACGTAACATCACGTAACAACTAGTAACATGAGTAATTAATGTAACATCACGTGACAACTAGTCATTGAACTAAAATTTCGTATGTGACAATACCTGCACTAATGACGTGAATAAATCACGGGACATCTAGTCACACAATAAAGATTACGGAATATCACGTAACAACTGGTCACGTGACTAAAATATATGTAGAAAAACATAACAAGTGATATCACTCAAATCACGTAACCAAACATTCGCGTAGAATGCCTTAGTACTAGTAACGGGACTAAATATCGCGTAACATATCCCGTAACTAGTCCCATAACTGAAATCTCATAACATCTTGTCACGTGACTAAAAATACGTAACATCACCTCAAATTTTGTCCCGCTTTTAACCGAACGTAATGACTATCCACATGACTAAAATAATGTAACATCATGTAACCGCTAGTCACGGGAGTTATTCCGGCAAAAACCACGCAATAGTTTGTCGCGTGACTCAAATCATATAAGGTCACGTAACATATCCTTGTCACTTGGCTCAAAATCACGAAACGTCAAGTAACAGCTAGTCACATGGCTAAAATCACGTAACATCCTCTCCCAACTAGTCACGTGGTATATTCCCGCCAAAAGCCCAGTAAGAGCTATATAGCCACGCGGCTAAAATCACATCATGTATAACATCTGGTCACGCAGCAAGTTTCTTCCAAAACCCCGTGACGAGTGTGTAGTGTGGGAAAGCGACCAAAACCAGAGAAGAATAACCAAGCCTAGCCATACTTAGTACCACTACCAAATACTTGGCATATTTCACAAGAGCTTGGTATTACAAGCAAAAACTTGCAAGTTAGTTCGGAAATTTTCTCCGCTGTCTATTGGTTTCAGCCTTGCACCACTAAGACAGGCTGCGCAGTATTTTTTTTCTCTTTTGTGTTTGATCGCACATCGCACAGAAATTGCGTATGACATGAATAGTGAGAGATTGCCTTCCGGAATTCGTTGCTGGTCTGTTTCTCGGCAGACTGTGGTGCTTCTACCAGCGAATAGATAAGAGTTCTCGCGTCACATTTGCTCAGTACCAGTTGCACCCGTCATCTGCTATATTAAAGAAAATTGGAACATTACTAGCCCTGTAGACTTCACAAATTTCAATATGATAGCAATTTTTGGAGTTTACTGTCCTGAAACTACCATATGATAATGAGAGGCGCACCGCAAGGGAGAGCTCCGGAAATTTCGACCAGCTGGGTTTCTTGAACGTGCACTTAAATCTAAGCACACGGGCCTCAAGGACTTTCACCTCCATCGAAAATGCGGCCGCCGCTGCCGAGATTCGATCCCGCAACCTGCAGGTCAGCAGGCGAGTGCCTCAGCCGCTAGACCACAGTGGCGGGTATTTCACAAATCTGCTTCAATGCAATCGAGTGAGAAGATGGCTTTCACCTTCGAGTCGCCTAAGGCGAATGTCTGAGGAACCATGAAATTTTTTTAGATGCCTGCTTTTGAAGGTCAAGCGCAGCACGAAGGTATCAGCCAAAAAAACTACTCCAGAGCCACGTCATGAGCGACGCTGGCTAAATACACAGGCTTGATCGCGCACACATACGTAGATACCTAAGCAATGTATCTTCTTAAAGTATACTGAACTTCCAACTATTGACAAAGCTCGTTGACGACGCAGTGCTCTGAAAGGCTTTACCGAGTGCTGTTGTTCTGTCGAGTGCACTGTCCACTTCTTTAGCGCACGTCAGAAGTGTCGTAAACATAAAGCAACCAGTGAACTCCCAGCTAGTTACGTTAGGGTGTAACTAAGCTATATACAACTGGCTATAACTATAGCTCTCAACTGGATTGATTGACGGATCATGGGAGAGGCTTTTGCCCGGCAGTGGACGCAGTCAGACTGATGATGATGATAATGATGATAAAGATGAAGCTATAGAAAACTGGGCACGTCTTTGTTTGCTCAAACTAACCATGTTCTTCGTAATTGCCATGTATTGTAATAACTTGTCACATGACATAAGTCAAGTAACATTTAGCCCCACGAATCTTTATCTGAGCTTTTTTGACTGCTCTGCTATATATGGAACCAGGAATGTTTATTAAAAATGTAGAACTATAGAGATGTTTATAGGCTCGGTACGTTGTTTTTTTTTTTTTTGCTGTCAGGAATTGGGGCAAGGACCCTTGTCAAGCTGCTAGATAGCAGGTTTTTGTTCTTTTCCTTGTGTTCATCATCTAAATGTAATTAGTGTCCAACATAATTGATTGATTGATTGATTGATTGATTGATTATAGACGCATAATGCTGAGCGGACACTGTGGCTTATTTAATCGGATGCGCAATTGCGTCACAAAAATTGCGATCCCACGCAGCATGTCTCAATGTCCGGCCAACGGCAAACCACACCGTAGCAATCCTGTGAATGAGCGGGAACAGCTCAACTCAGAAGCTACGGCCGGGCACGGACTATTATCTGCTCGGGGGTAGAACGGTAGATTTCATGGGTATGCTGCAAGCTAAAATTATGCTCGGCTTGACTAGACAGCGTCGCCTCTGCGTGCACCGAAAGCTTTAGTCGGGAGCAAACCAACGAGGGCGAGGAGGACGTGGAATCACAGCGGTGATGACGCTTGATTCATTTAGAGCGGCCGGGTTTACTAAATAGATGTCAAAGACCCCTCACTCTTCCCTTTAGTCGCAGACCATTGCGTAAGCACTGTACGCTAACAATTCGACTTTTTATTTCGCTACAAATCCCAAGAGACAGCGAGCGCCGTCGGTTGAGTGCGGCAGGGGAAAAAAGAAGCTGACCATGTTGTTTCGTCGAGTGTGAAGCTCCGGCCTTATTGTGGTGGGTGCAGATGTCTGGATAGAGGTAGATCTCGTTGCAGCAGGTGTCGTTCCACAATGACTACGCGCCGCAAAGGTACTGTAAGCTTCAGCGAGGCGTCCGCCTCGACGATGACTAACGGTATGCTGGCGGGTGCCTATTACCGGCGTGGCCCCGGCGGTAACTTCATCCAAGACAGCTTCCACAGCTCCACCGACGTCCCCACGTATATCGCGTGGCAGACCCTGTCCACCGACTTGTCTGAGGGCTTGCGCCAAGGCTCGATTCGTCTAAGCCGTACCAACACGCTCGAGTACGTGCCCATCACCGAGGAGGATGAGGAGGCACCGTTGGTAAACATTCAGGACGCCACGAGCTTGTCAAAGTCAACCGTCTCCACGCCCACTGTTGAGCAAGGTAAGTGGGCTGCACGCCCATTTAAGGCTGCGCGCCTTGCTTATTTCTGTTTCAATATAAATACTGAGCTATTGCAGTGCTTGAACAAGGGTTATGTGCTTCCCGCGTTTAAACAAGAGTGTCTAAGGCCAACCCGTTGCTTTTGTTTTTTTTGTGTGTGTGCTAGTAATTTAAAACCGACTGAGAGAATAAAGCACTCTTGGTAAGCTACGCTACACAACAAAACAATTCGTAATCGCCTAGATTTTTAGCCCCATAATCACATTGATCATGTGTGTTGGCTTCATGGTGGAACCGAACACAGGGGGCGGGCTTCCTATAGACCTCACATCTATTCGCTCTCGAGAGCAGCAGCACCGCTTTTACCACTGGCGGTTGCCGGGCATCCTACTAGAAATAAATCGCAAAGAGAAAATTTGTTTCATGACGTCACTGGTGTGGTCTCTAAATAATAGGATAGAACGAAAAAATCGAGAGGAGGAGGGTTGCCGCAGGAGCCTTCCTTTCCCACTTCGCATGCAAGCGGAATGAGCTCGTGCCTTCTTTGAGGTGCGTCGGCCGCTTGGGCAATGCTGCCATAAAATTTTGTGAATACTTCTTTTTAATTGTGTTCGTGTTTTCTGAAGAGGCGAAAGTTAAGCTGACTGATTTCTCAATAACACGAAAATCTGTCGACACAAATGCACTTTTATTGCATGTTTGTAATTAAAAAAATACAGATACATACACGCAGTGTGAAAGTGTCTATACACAAAAGCAACTTTAATTTACAATTTGCATATGGGCATAATGAGAAAACTTAGAACCCAGAATATCCGAACCAATGCGAAAATTATCGACAATCGCGAGTTGGACACGTCGTATTTGATTGAGTGACGCTTGTTATAACGGCGCACATAGTTTTCTTACAGAACTTGAGTACCAAACGAGACTGTAGTTCAGAGGCATGAAGAGGCTTGAAGCGATCAGAAGTTTTCCAAGAAAGAACGTCACTAGAATCAGTGTTTTGGCATGTTGGCTTGTTCTCGTCAGAGCAACAGCGTTGCCTTGACGAAGAAAAGTTCACTTGTCAAGATGTTGGCTCCATCTACATTCTCTGTAATAAATTTTAGCATGATTTAGTTCATCACGTGTATTTGAGTGACACTTTTAGAAGCAGACTTTGAAACCACGGCTACAAGAAATTCATCTGCAGGAAGCAGCGAAATCATGTGAACTACTCGCCAAAAGTAAAAAAAGCTAAAAATATGTAGCCGAACCAGCTCGAATTCGAGCCTTTCAATAAACGCATTTTTTTTTTACAGGAGCTTAGCTGCCTTCTTCACACATTAGTCAAGTGACACTGCACTTCTGTCAATCCAGACAGGTTTGCAGAGAACTGGGTCAACTGCACACATGGAAAAGCAAAACTTGCTAAAATAATGGGTCTAAATTCTTGTGCTCACAAGTTTCCTTTACGAAACGCTGAAGAACCTTCGCGGAAATAGAAAAATCTGGATCAGCACACCGCAGAGCCGCGGAAAACTTGTGTTGCCCGATTAAGTCATCTTTGACAAATGCATGCTTGACTTGCTCGGCGTAGCTCACCGCTGCTTCCGTTCTCTCCCCGCCACAGCTTGCTGCCTTTATCTTTCCCGTAGTTGGCGCGCCAACCGAGCGAGATGACTGAGCGCGATCCAACTTCTATAATATTGCGGAGCGAGGGGCGAAAATGAGCGGAAGCAAGCACTACAAACGCTAGTCAATCACCTCCCCCGCTTCTTCTGATTTGATATTCACAAAGTAAGGAATGAGAAAATACATATAAACAAAATAAAATAAAATTTCTTTACAAGGTTAATGATTCTTTTTGTAAAAACTCGCGAAAGCGAATAAATGCAAACGTTCAGATCAACCTCACTCCGTTCAGCCGGCTCTTATAGGATGCCCGGCAACCACTACGATCGTGCAGGGGCCTGCCTTACTGGGAATGTAGCACACAAGACGACTGTCTCGGTGTGTGCATGTACAATTTATCAACTAATAACAAGTTCGGGAGAAACTTCCTCAAGCTGAACGAGCAAGATGCCCACTGATTGGTAAAGTACACTTGAACTGATTCTTAAACTCTGGCATACTAACGGCTGCTCTTAAACACTTCCACTGCAACAACAAGCGCCCGGCTTCTTTCCGTCTGGGTAAGCTTGATACGGAAATATTCATAACATCTAAGGCCTTTCGGCAGCTCAACGCACACTAAGATGGCGGAGCACATCTTGGCACACAGTGGGTGCGTGGGCGCTTAGTATAAAATGCGGCTCATCCGCGGAAAACATGAAAAAGAAGCTGAATACGTACTCTCTTCTGCTTTCAAATGACTTCGAAGCTAAGCATTTTCATTGCCACGATGTCGTTCTAGTAAGACTGTGTATTTATCGGAGCCTGACGGTCAATTCGCAGGGGTCGCATGGAGCGTGGCCGCTTTCCTGTTGGTCAACTCGGCTTTGGGCGCCGGGGTGCTCAACTATCCGGCTGCTTACGATCGCGCTGGCGGCATTCTGGCAGCAACGCTCCTACAAGTAGTAAGACATTTGCCACACTAAGTTTAAGCATGTTGCACCGGATGCACAGGAAATGTGTATTAATTGATACTCATTCGCGATGTTCTTTTCTACATCTGTGCAGCTCTCTATCCCATCTTTTTTATGCTTATCGCTTCAGTATTTTTACCCCTTCGCGACGGCGCAGAATAGTGTATACGTGGCTAGCATTCCTATTTTTTTCACAATCTTCCTGCGCCTTCGGTTTCCGTCGCCGTAAGCACACGCTATATACAGCTGATGAATCGGCATGCAAGAAAGAATGATTGCTGCAATGAATTGCTGCAAGTGTACGACGTCCGAATGCTCGTGCTATCCTGGCAACAAAGCCAAGTACAACGTGAGCATTAAGTGTCAATGGCGATGACTACGGCGACAATGATCTGACCGCACATGTCGCTCTATTTCTGTTTAAGTTATATTGCATTGCGGAACCACATGTCGTTCATAAAATTTATGCACTTGGTGTTTTATTACAGTACTGCACAGAGCTGGTGATTTTTGTTACGCATAATTTCTTTTCATTTATGCCAGCTAGAGACAATTACGGATTGGTTTTGGTGCCACCGTGTTGTAAGCCTTTCCGTCTTGTATTTTTAACGGCTAAACTAACAGTGCTACAATGGGTGCATTTATACGTGAAAACGGTTGCGTTGGTAAATTCGGCGCTTCGTGACTTTGTTCATTAAGGTCGGGTATTAGAAATTAAGAAGACATACGTTTAACAGTCCAAGTTGGCGGTACCCAGGCGTATCATGCGAAATCATGAGCAGTTACTTAAGACTATAGCCTTTCTATCAGAACTGGACTGAGATAGGGCCGATAGAGCAATTCGTCAGCATGCAATCCTGAAGAACCTGAACTACATCTATAGCGGAACATGTTGACACCAAGCTTACTATTTTGGCGGGGCATGTACGTCTAATCCGTGCGAAATGGATGGTTTGGAAGCCATGCAGTGATTTCATTCCTTTTTTTTTTAATACTGCGTAACTGGTCACATCAGAGACGCGCTTATCAAATGTTCATGGATAGATAACTTTCTGACACAGTACGTATTCTGGGTAACGTAATCGTGAGTTATTCCTGCTTAAACTATAGATTTTTTTTTTGCATCTTGAAATACCTGTAAAACATTAAACCAAATTTGGAACCATGAAAAGTGGTTAACCACTTGAATGACAATTAGTGATTGAAAAAGCACTGTCACGTCGTGTTCTTTTACATTGAGGAAGCTAGCAGTAATAAAGTGGCGATGGTCACCACTTTGCTTTAAGTAAGAGATGGAACCACACCATTGTCGCAGCTCATGATCTTCTTGAACGTGGTGACCATGCTGATCCTGGGCTACTGCGCCGACCTGAACGGTGACAACACATTTCACGACGTGCTGCTGACCACATGTGGTCGGCGAGCACAGCAGATAGCAGCTGCATCGATCTTGCTGTCGTGCTACGGCGTCTGCATCACCTTCCTCATCATCATCGGTGACCAGTATGACCGGTGTAAGATCAATGTTTTAATTTTTCCCCTGTTATAGTCATTCATGTGAATTGCCAATTACATTATCGATGAAACGCTGAGCCGCAATGGCCGACGATGTTTCCAAGGTGAAACTTGGCCTTCCCAAAGGGAGAACTGCGCCCACCTGTGAGCTAAGAAGTGGCCTCTGCATGACGAGAGAGATAAAAAAATTTATATGAATAATTGAGAAATGTCGGGTGCGGGGAAGGGGGGCAGCTTTAAGTCCAGAGCTTTAAGAGCAGCTGCCGCGTCCCGTGCCCGACGGACCAGCGCCCGCTGGCCACTCGGGCTTTCGTCACGCCACATCGTCACGCTACAAGCCTCCCAGTCTTGTAGTGTTGGCAGAGGAGTTGGGAAAGCGCCTGGAAGGCCGACGCTGACATACCAGTGTTGCGTGAACTAACGTAGGGACAGCTTTACAGCCAGGGCTTTTGTCAGACTAGGAAGTAGGATGCGAAAGAAGTATATAGGCTGGCGAATGTGTTAGCCTGCAGTTGACGCACCACGGTTGCATCTTCTTGGGTCAGCGTGTAGAAGGGTATACCGAAGGTTTTTTGTTTATAGTAATCGAGAGAGTTTTGACATCCCAGAAGTTCTGTGTTTGTGTCCTCCTCATTTGGGTTGGAAAGTTCTGCCTCCGGTTGCATGTTAGTGAGTGCTCGGCGGGTAGCTGCATATGCGCAGTCATGATCGAGGAGAGAAGCGTGCCCACGGGTCCAAAAAAGTCGGAACTTATGCGGTGTGTGAAATGCAGTGTTCAAAATTCAGTGTGTGTGTGTGTGTGCGTGTGTGTGTGCGTGTGCGTGTGCGTGTGTGTGTGTGCGTGTGTGCGTGTGCGTGTGCGTGTGCGTGTGTGTGTGCGTGTGTGTGTGTGTGTGTGTGTGTGTGGTGTGTGTGTGTGTGTGTGTGTGTGTGTGTGTGTGTGTGTGTGTGTGTGTGTGTGTGTGTGTGTGTGTGTGTGTGTGTGTGTGTGTGTGTGTGTGTGTGTGTGTGTGTGTGTGTGTGTGTGTGTGTGTGTGTGTGTGTGTGTGTGTGTGTGTTTAGTGAGACGATACCAAGTGTGAAGGCTCGATAGGCATCCTGTGAATCTATAAAGATGTGACAAGGCCCTTGAGAAAATGGCAACCTCGCGTTCCGCTTGTGAATGCTCGCCATGCAGGACTGCAACATTTGGGTGAGCTGTTTACAGCAGCGTCTGCTTTACGCTATATGTGACCGCGTGGCGTGCTCCAACAAGAGTTTGGGACGAGTAACAACAGCAACTACGGTGAATTCATGGTGTGCTACACTTGAAAGGAAGCGTTACCATCGGGCAAGTTGCCCGTTGTGAGCGGAACTTTAAGTCGACCCATCACTGCTTCACATGCTACTCATGGTTCCCTTTAATGAGAGTGGTGTAATAATTTTTTTCAACTATTATCCCCGAGAACGAGCAATGGTGTCACTGCGGTGACGGCGATGTCACGTCACCGCAAAGAGTCGCCAGCTCCGCCAGAACTTGTGTACAGCACTTGTGTACACACCCATCGTGTACACGCTCTTTAGCGATACGTTGTGATAATTCCTCAATTTCGTGATTTCTCAATATACAAAATGCAAGTTTTAACAATTAGTGAAAGTTTGGAACCTGCATGTAAGAAGTTTAATAAATTTAGCTTAGGATAGGCAGACTACCATCCGAACAGAATATTTCCTGTGAATATGGTGATTCAGGAGAATACGTTCATTGTTTTCATCGCGTACACCACAGAATAAGTGCCCTGCCGTGGTGGTCCAGTGACTAAGGTACTCGGCTGCTGACCCGCAGGTCGCGGGTTCAAATCCCGGCTGCGGCGGCTACATTTCCGATAGAGGCGGAAATGGTGTAGGCCCGTGTGCTCAGATTTGGGTGCACGTTAAAGAACCCCAGGTGGTCGAAATTTCCGGAGCCCTCCACTACGGCGTCTCTCATAATCATATGGTGGTTTTGGGACGTTGAACCCCACATATCATCAACCACAGAATAAGTGCTAAAAATATGCTAAGTGATACTAACGTGATTAAAACTAGGCACACGTCAGAAATGCTAATGGGAGCATCACGTGGGAGCACCACTGATAGCAACGATTTCAACACAAACGTCAGAAAATCGAAATGAACTCTTTTTTTTATGGCGTACTCACCGACGTGATCCATGCTGTGGCGTAACCAGGGGATGGCTCACCGGGCCAGTGCCCTACCACCAAATTTTTTTCTCCGTGTAGAGAGAAAAATGGCAATTTCAAAAAAGTGCCCCTCCCCCCCCCCCCCCCCCCTTCCATAAAAAATTCCAGCCTATAGGCTCTTGGGCCCATGTTATAATCAAATACCCTTCGCCTCGCTGAGGTGGCGACTGGTCTCGCATGTCATGTCTACCAACAGGTAATCAACTCCAAGAGAATTCAACATATGAGGTGGCTATCTCAACTGGTAGTTAGGAGCGCGACCGTACGGTTGCTACGATTCTGCACGGAGACAGAATCTGACAGCAATAGGACTTTCAGCCCCTAAGCACAACTGCACTATACATCAATAATTTTAGTCAATTAAGGCTTCGAAAGTATTGCGAGAAAAACATGAAACTAAACAACGCGTTGAGTCAGCAAGTACACGAGAAAAACGCACGACAGGGGCCGAGGTATTCTAGGGCGAGCGCGGGGATCGACGCACATGTGAAAGCGCTGTCCGTAGATACGTGGATTACTCCGGTACAAACTATTATAGGAGAGGAGAAACCCCGATATCTCCGAAAGGAAACACCTATATACATTTCAACCAATAATGTAGATATGGTGTCTTAATTATTTCTCAAAAATCACATGATTACTTGCCAATGAATTTGTTGTATCCAATCAGAAGCGTGTTCTTGATTTTCACATCTGTCGGAATGCGGCTGTCGTGGCCACGAATGGAATTCATCATCGGGTTTAGCAGCGCGATCAAGACCTTTTCACTCCTTTCACTTTGCTACACGACCCAGTGCGTGATTGTGCAGAGGCAAAGGTAAACTTTTTATTGTTTTACCTGAAACATTACCAATTTTATTTTTATTTTTTCATTCATCTGCAGCTTGCGATGAGCAAAAAGCGAATGC